TATAATTATTATACACTATGTGAATGCTATGGAAAAGTGTCACATACAAGGGTTTTCATTACACTAACACGTAAACTTGTTGAAACAATTATGTGAGACAAAGTCTTCACCGTACCTACGAGAGTACACACTAAAGTCCTGAATGATAACCAGAATCTCGGTAAGAGAGCGTGACACTTGTGTATAGATCTATATGGGACTGACAATCTCGCACCTAAGTTGCTACCTACAGCTAGACCGGCAGGTCTGGGGTGGCAAAATGCTTAACATTCCGACGCCTGAAGAACGTCGCAGCAGGCCAACTTCGGTTTTAGCATGGTTGTAACAACTCACATGGGAAATCAACAATACATTTAGTTTATGGGGTAACATGCATTCAAATGGTTTTATATAATAACAAACCTACGTAATACTATTTTAAGTATAAAAATACATATACATTTTCGATCTTAGGGTTTTTAAGACTACAACTCATTTTAAGGAAATATTGGATTTTCTGGGAAAAAATACTGTCAATTTACAAGGAAAAAAATTTTAGATTTTTATCCAGACAAAACTCTTATGAACTTACCAACTTAATTGTTGACACTTTTCAAAACTACTTGTATTCTCAGGAAACTGTTAACCGGGTAGTCACAAGGCTTTTAAGGATGGGACGTTACGGCGTCGTACTATTTATTTTTGTCATCATAATGTAATTGGTTTTGAAAGATACAATACATGGAAACAATGTAATATTCTCAATTATATTTATGATGGTTGTGTTCCCTTTGATCACTATTGTACATTATGTTGTGATATTGTTCATGAAGTCATCCACCCCCAGACGATTGCGTCATCCTGGTTTGGGGGTGTGACACTCTCCATTCATCTTTTCAATAAAAATTGAGGGTCAGGGTTCATCGTTCCTAACATTTCTAAAATCTCATGAAGTTTAGTGGAATCAAGTGCTTTGGTGAAAACATCGGCTATTTCTTCATGTGTCGGAATAAAGATAAGTTCGATGTTACATTTTAGGATATGATCCTTGATGAAGTGATACCTTAGTTCAATTTGTTTCGTCTTGGAGTGTTGAATAGGATTGTGTGAAATGGTAATAGCACTCTATGAATCATAGTGAAATGGTATTTAAAGCATTTGATGGCTGTAATCCATGAGTTGTGCTTTCATCCATAATACTTGTGAATAGTAGGTGGTTGTGGCAATGTATTCTGTCTTTACGGTGGTGAGTGAGATTCAGTTTTGTTTTCTTGATGAGCAACTCACCAATCTTCCACCGAGGAATTGGCATCCTCCAGAAGTGATCTTGCGGTCTAATCTGCATCCCACGTGATCTGAGTTTATAAAGGCTTGCAGACTGAAGTCGTTTCCTGATGGGTACCAAAGACCCAAAGTTTTGCTCCCTTTGAGGTATCTGAAAATCTGTTGACTACATTTGTAACGCCCGTAAATCAGGGCTAGTCAATTTAGAGACGATAAGCGTCAAAAATGACTTTTTGATGAAAGATTATTTAGAATGAGTAATCTTAACTAAGTTATAGTATATGTTACAAGGATTTCGTACATATAAAGAACGCCGAAATCCAAGTTATAACGAAGAAGTTATGACATGTCGAAGTTTCGCGAAAAAACCGGCACGACACAGCGCGACGTAAAAAATGAATTTACGTTAGAGCGATATTTAGATTTAGCAATCTAAACAAAATTCATAGAATACGTTAAACCGTGAGCGTGCATAAAAAGAACGTCCAAATCTGACTTCGTATGAGGAAGTTATGATTTTTCTAAGTTTCGACTTAGCGGTATGCAGCCTGAATACTCGATTTGAGATCGATCGGGTTTTAGCCGAAACAATATAAACGAGAATCGAAGATCTCGTTAATATTGGTGAAACGATAAAAAGATAGGCGAAAACGGACGTCGGATGAAGAAGTTATGAATTTATAACGGAGTTTTTCTGTCCCGACCTACTAAAAATAATATAATAAAAATAAAGTCAAAATTAACCGACAGAGTCTAAATGAAAGTTGTAGATATTGTTTTTACCTACGCGTCGATATAAAGAACGTCGAAAACGGAGTTCGTATGCGAAAATTATGAATTTCTGAAGTTCGGGGCGCGAACCTCAAAGTTGTGTCAGAGACCACGACGTGGCAACAGTGGCCACGACGTGGCATGACTTCTGACGCATTCTGGAGCCTGACAGAGCAAGTGGATGATGACGCATGCAGTGACGACCAAGCCCACGACGTGGAAAAAGGTACCATGACGTGGCAAGGGCAAATTTTGCCCTATAAATAGATTTGAAGGGCCAGCCGAGTTTGGTTGCTCATTCTCTCATCTCTCACCTGTATTGCATTGATTTACGTGCAAAGAAATACCCCCGAAGCCCCGATAACATCCCGAGACCCGAAGCGAGTCCCGAAGCCCGAAGATCCCGAGAAGAAAAGAGTTTCCGAGCCGAAGTTCTGTCCGCGAGAAACCCGGTGTGTGAAGATATCCCGGTTTCACCGAAGAGTTCTACTTGAAGAGCCGTAGTGTTGTCCGAGCATCGTCTAATCAAGTAAGTGTATAGTCACTTTCATCTTACACATAGATATGATATATGTTATAAAAAACGTGTTATGTGTGTGTGTGTGTGTGTATATATATATATATATATATATATATATATATATATTGTTGTTTATATGCGTGAGTGTGTGGTTACTTTCTTCTAACACATAAATACAAAGTATGAGCTATGAAATACGTGTTATGTGTTATGTATTATTTGTCTATTTGAGATGGGCTTGGAATTGATGTTTTTATACGGGTGTTAAATGATTCAAACTATATATGTATTTTATATCTACAAAATATGTTGGGTAGAACATGGGTAGATGAAATAGTGGCAACTATGAGACGTAGTGCCTATTATATAAACCTTGGTGACTATAGAGTTAGCGCCTATTGTATAAACTTTGGTGACTATGGAGTTAGCGCCTATTGTATAAACCTTGGTGACTATGGAGTTAGCGTCTATTGTATAAACCTTGGTGACTATGGAGTTAGCGCTTATTGTATAAACCTTGGTGACTATGGAGTTAGCGCTTGTTAAAGTAAACCTTGGTGACTATGGAGTTAGCGCCTGATAGCTATGGATTTAGTACCTGATAGATAAACTTTGGCAGCAATGGACTTCGTGCCGATTCCTTAGGTAAATCCTTAGGAACGAATGGATAAAGGATAGTTGATTCTTAGGATAAACCGTTGAGAAAATAAAGGAGATATGGGGATGGGTATTTGGGTTGATTGTTTAATAATTCAATATAATAAATGTATTATTGTGGGTTGAAAACCCTATATGCTCACCAGGCTCCCAAGTCTGACCCACTCAGTTTTCTTTGCATTACAGGTAATGGCACAAGGGTATAAGTTGATGGACTTGACGAGAGATTTTGGATTATAGATCAGTAGTTATAAATAACTGTTGTAAGGTCTATTTTATATTGTTTATGATTTTGGTCTGTATCGGAACATGACATCCCAAGGTTTTATTATTAAATAAAATACATTCTCTTTGAGAAATGTTTTGATAAGTTATTATCATATATTGTTTTGGGAACAAATTCCGCAACTGTTTTCTTTAAACGATTACTCTGATTTATGAAACAAAGCATAAACAAATCGGTCTTTTCTGACCGTGAAATTGGGGATGTCACAACATTCATATAAGAGACCTTGGGATCAGCTTGGTATCTGGCACGCAAATCCGTTGCGAAGACAATATTCAGCCTACTTGTTGTCAGGTACAATAGACAACCAATCATTCCTCGGTATACCTTCTGGTTAACAATTATCCATAGAGTAATGATCTAAGTTAAGATATTCCATTTAAGTATCCTTACATTGTGGTCCTAAAATTACATATCCAATCCTTAACTTAGTTTTTTTACATTTTTTTACCTAAAGATACCTTTACACATGTTCCTACATGTTTATGGATCATACAATATGCAATTATGCATGCAAATGTAAGAAAAATACAAAACAATTTCAAGTCAACCATAAAATGTGTTTTCATTTGTCTGGGTTACATGAGTTTACATATATGTTAATAAGTACATAGCAGTAGATTACATCCAAAACTTGGTTTCCTAACTATTACAACCAATTTAGGGCACGAATGGTTGTTATATATGGAGGCGTGTAATGAACAGTCAGAGTATTGTGATGTAACCATGCAAACGCAAAAACAACGTTGTTCCATCCATGTCAGTGTTAACCTGCCTTTATTTGATGATGTGTCTCTTTAAACCAGGTAAAATAGGTTGTAATGACTAAAACGACAGGTCACTTCCAACTTTATGCCCCATAAAACACCAAAAATAGTTTTGAGACTAATTCGACAAATTCCAAAAACATTATAGGGCTAAATTGTCATTTTCCCTAAAAAAAATATATTGCATCATTTTGTAGGCGGAATCACAAAAGTTAAACAAAAAAAAATACATGATAAAGAATTATCAATTGGGATTACAAACCCACTTACCATGGAAGATAGCGCCAATGACAAACAAAACAACGTGTCCTCTTTGTGAGAATGATGTGTATTGAAGAAGGTGACGGGTATCTTGAAGAGGTGTTCCTCATTATGTGGCGGCAAATTTAAAATTTCAGAAATAAGTAATTGTTTAGTCCAATTACCCCTAAGAAAGCCCTTGTTTTGACAATATTGTTAAGTATGCTTACTCATAATAGATGTAAGTGTTCTTTTAGTTGTGTCACATGGTTGCAAATCACTTCTTTGGTTGTCAAATAATCGTTTGACTTTCTTTTATCCCTAGCTTCTTGCTAGTTTTATAAAACCATGCCATTCTAAAAAAACATATATGGTGGATAAAGTAATTTTCATCCCACCAAAATTAAGTTTATGCCACGTCATCGCCACATCCCCATATTAGAATATTATAGATTCTCTCTATATAGTCACAATTAAGCAACACAAGATTAAAATTGTCTAACCAACACAATTCGAAAACAAACATTCATAAAGTAGTAGTAGTAGTAGAAGAACAATTAAGAACAATAACATCTCATCATAAAGTACATTACCATTGTCTACCAACCAACAATCATGTTTCACAAAACTACTCACCTCTCACGGGCTAGGAGAAACATCCACATCGGCTTCACCCCTCGAGTATCCACCACCCCGAGCCACTGGGCTACGGCTCCGGCTCGCGTCTCTGGGTGCACCGCGCCGGTCCCTTACAGGGCTACGGCTCGGGCTCCTTGACCCGTTGTAGGGCGGCGGTGACCGGTCAACGGGCGGACTTCTGCTCCGGCTCCTTGGCGGCCCATCGTAAGGCGGTGACCGCGGTCTCACCGGAGATTGTGAGTATGACTTTTCTCGACTGTGTCGTTTCTCGCGAGGTGAAATTGACCTATTTAAAAAAAAATGTTAACAAGAAAATTACCAAAATACCCTTGTAAATGAAAGAATTTTTAATAATTTATTACCTAACATGTTGCTTTCGCTTTGGAGGAGGGGAGTATTCGCGACTGTGGGACCGCGAACGAGCGTAGCGTGGCGGTGGTGAGCGGGAGTAGCGCGGTGGGGGTGACCGCCTACGATCGCTAGGCCTTCCGGATCCGCCTCTGAAATAATAAAAATTGTTACAACCTCGGAATGGAATCGGTCAAGGAATGGAATGAGTGATTACATTCCGATTCCTTTTAAGAAAAAAGACTAGCTTTTGCAATCAACTTAAAAAATCTACTTGTTATAAAAACTAATAAAAAAATATAGCCAGATTTTTAATTAAATTAATAATTTAATAATAATTAATAAGGAAGAAAATTTTACCTCCTTTCTCTTTGCCTCATGTCAGTAGGCTTCTTTCGGTTCTCTTCAGCAAAGACAACAGTCAACTGTCTGCCCATAAGAATTTGACCATCCATCTGATATTTAGCTTCAGCAGCATCAGCAGGATCAAGAAATTGAACAAATCCAAACCCTCTTGGCTCCCTACAAATAAAAAAAAAATTATAAAAACAAAAAATTTATAATGTCAAAACTCAAAAAGAAGTTTGTTTAACAGCCTCATGGAAGTAAAAAATTATATAAAAATTAAAAGTTTTAGTGATTTGAATGGTGGTTATGGTTAATTGGTTATGATTATTGTTATTGTTATTGTTGTTGTTGTTGTTATCATCATAAGCAGATAAAGCAAGCACATGGCTGCTGACCTTGCAAATGTGAATATTAATATGACTTTGACTTTGACTTTGACTTTGACTTGAAATTCTTCAAGACTTGAAATCTTGATATCTTCCAAATGAAATCAAACTCTAATTTCCTTCTCTCATCTTCACTACTCTTATTACTTGAATCATGTCTTCAAAACTTTTAACTGTTGAATCTCAACAACTTAATAAAAACCCAATTTGAAACATAATAACATGGTATCATACTTTTTAGTGTGTAGAAACTAAAAAACAATTTTGGATGAAGTTTTTACTTTTTAGTGTGTAAAAACTAAAAAAACATAAATTTGTTATGATTTTTTATTATTAGCTCACCCGCTATAATAGTCCCTTGGCAAATAGATGTCTTTTAAGGGACCAAATTGTCCAAATGGCCTTCTGAGATCTTCAGGCCTGAAAATATTAATATTAATAATTAATTATAAAATAATAAGAAAATATAAACGTATCACAATGTTTTGAAAAATAGTATGTGAGTAAGAACAAACCTGCAATCATGGCGAAGATTGCGAACTAAAAGACTGGTTGGAAGATCTCTATCTCTTCCCCGGCCACCACCACCGCCTCCACCACCACCGCCGCCATAGCGACCCCTTGGACTGGGGCTCCTTCCCCTTCTCCCATGGCCACCCCTGGGAGGTGAAGGAGAGTAGCTCCTTCCACCCATTTACTGAAAGTGATGTTCAATAATATGAGAAAACAATTGAAAATTTGTATCAATATAAGAATAGAAGAATGCTCCATATAAAAAGAAAGAACTATTATGAAGGAAGTGATACATAAGAATAATTTTAACTGGATTTCATTAAGGATATGGAAATAGATAACAGAAGTTTTCCAACAAAGAAACAAAAAAGGTCACAGAGATGGAGTTCTTATAGAATGCAACTCAACAATTGATTTTCAGATAGTATAAATGCTCAGATTTATGAAGATAAACACTTCATTAACAAGTATGAATGTCTATCTTCAACTATATCCCTTTCACTGAAAGATTGGCTAAAGGACCCAATATAATTGCAAAATAACGCCAGTTAACATGAAAATTTGAGGCTTTAGCTATGTAATACAATTACATTATTTCTTCACAAAGCAAATCGGTTAGCTAAGAACTCACAGCCGAAAAAGAATCAATACATAACCAAGAAAGTTATAAAGTTCGTTAGCAAACCCTAATACCGATAAGTAAATGAATAGAAGTTTGAAATTACGTGCGTAAGCAACTATCAGTGAAATATCCACCAAATTATCCAAAAACAAAGACGAATATGATATGAATTAGCAACCATAGAAGGAGAGAAAGATAACGAAGTTAAATATGACGATTCCGAATGTAAACGAAAACGAGATCCGGAAGAAATTAAAAGTGCTTTTCTAATGACATGAGAGATTGATTTGAGTTCAAAAGAAGAGCTAGAAAATACCTGTAAATTATGCAGAAGAGATCTCGACGATTTGGAAGAAGACCGCGAGAGGAGGACTCGAGTGATGAAGACGGCGAGGATAGGCCGACTGGGGTTTTTATTTGCTAGGGCAACTTTTCGAAAAGACAAATTGAAAGATATTCCAACAATTTCATGAATAGTCCTTCAACTATTTAAAGATATTTACTCAATTTTAAAGTTCCAAAATAAAATACAAATAAAGTCGGTGTTTGGGATTGTATTCTCAAAACTAATTATTTATGTGATTTTGTTTAAGTGGTAATTTAAAAAGGTGATATGATTGTTGTAATTTAAGTAACGAACTTTTGTAATAAGTTTTGGACCTATTGTAAGTTGCAACAGTAAGGATTACTGGACTTCAATAACCAAAAAAAAAAAAAAAATTATCACACATGGTAATCATGTTTCTTTTGTAGTTTGCACGATATGAGCATGATGTTTGTAAATCATGATATTACTTAAATATTACTATCATTTTTTAATGTACTAAGTAGGTAAATATTTTTCAAATGATGTTTTCCAAAGTTTTTTTTTTAAGTGTTCTTTTCTATCTAAAGTGATGTCTTTTTCATGAGTTTCTTATATAGACTTTGAAAATTATTATATTTGTTTTCTTTAAGAATATATTCGAAAATCATAAAACATATATTTAAAAATATGTGAAAGAATTCCATATTCGAAATCGTTTTACACATAGATAAGTACATTGCATCTTCGACAAACTAGACATGAAAATTTTCGAAATACTCTTGTTACTAATATTTTGCTTTTGAAAATCTAGACATTAATTTTGGAAATACTATTTCCAACTTATATTCATTCTACTTTTTGACAAAAAAAAAATTACAGCTTGTGTGTGCTAGATAAATTATCAAAACAAGAAAAATAAAGTCAACCCATGAGGTATTTGTGTCCTCAACATGGTACTCCTGAGCTAAACGAACTGACAACGAACTGACAAGAAATTAGACGATAAAAAATCATAGGCATCTAAAACCTGAAAGAAAAGAAAGAAAAAAAAAAACAATATGTCTTTAAGGTATAAAAAATGAATTTTGACAATAAAGCAGGAGGATAAATTTCGGATAGAGAAAGAGAGATAACATGAACGGTGAGGAAGAAGGTGACAGAGGAGAAGAATGTCGCAACAATATAAACCCTAGCCTTTGGCAGAATAACATTAACAAACTTATACATCATAGCCTTGGATCGGACGTCCGAACGGTGGATAGCTTTTGTGACCTTTTGTGCAAGGGTTTTCTGTAGAGACATCGTCGACCGGAGGCTATATGGTAGATTGCAAGTGACGTGGGTTGTTGACAGAGGGTTAAACATGGTGATTCTCGGCGGTAAGAAGGCGATGATGACAATCTTGAAGTGTTTGTGGTGGTAGGATTTAAGTTACGGTAAAAAAAATTGATTATAAAGAGATACTGTATCGCTTCCATAATTATAGGTTTAATTTTATTATTTATGGGTTTTCTAAATTTAGATAATAAATTAGTTAATAGTGTGTGTGTGTGTGTGTGTGTGTGTGTGTGTGTGTGTATATATATATATATATATATATATATACACACACACATACACACACAAAGAAAGAAGAACTCAAAGATTTGCGAGAACCCGATAACTCCTAATACGGCCAACATTTTTCGAAACTAACACCACCAATCTTGTAACATCCCGACTCCCAGGTATAAAATTTAAAGCTTTATATTCATATTTTTAGACCTACTCGACGAGTTGGCTGCCCCAACTCATCGTGTAAAAACTGATCAGGCCGCGTGAACTTAGGACCTACTCGACGAGTTTGAGGACCCAACTCGACGAGTTGAGGTTGTGCTTGAAAGCCCTAATTTTTAAGGTTTGCACCCTATTTAAAGGACCTTAAGTCCTCCCTCCAGCCTCCCTTACCACCTTCACGTCTAGAAACAAACCCTAATCAATCTAACCTCCTATTTTGAGTGTGTGTAAGGCTAAAGAGTGTGTGTTTGGTTCATTTCTTGAAGAGACTTGAAGATTGAGAAGCTTGGAAAGAGAAGGAGCTTGTAGATCCAGCATCTACTTCGTTTTGGCATTCATTTGAAGGTAAAAAGTCATTACCTTGATCATGTTCTTGTTAGATCTCTCCATTTAAGAGTTTAGGGTCATTTCTAGCTTATTCTTGAGGCATTTCTGGTATTGAGCATGTTTTGAAGTGAGGAGTTCAGATCTGGACTCCTCTAGGCCCTAATGGACATAAAGTTCTCGACTTTATCAAGCTTTGGCCCCTCTCCATGCCCTAAACCTCTTCCTAAGACTAGTTTTTGGTGTTTTAGCCACTTAAGGCCTTGCATGCATGCAAAGTTAGCAACTTTACGTGGTAACTACACTCTAGGAGGCTAGATCTACAGTTTGGAGCCTTCGTTTCACTTGAAAACGTCTGAATAAGAAAAGGGATGAAGGAACTCGACGATTTGCATAGCCAACTCGACGAATTGGTTAGGGTTTTTACGAATCTTTTGGACACTGCATGGACTCGACGAGTTGCTTGGTAACTCGACGAGTTAACTCGGGCTTTCACGGTTTTCTGAGTTCTGAAGGAACTCGACGAGTCTGTAAGATGCACTCGACGAGTTGGGTCAACATGGACTGTTGACCTTGACCGTTGACTTTGACCTTGTGACAACCCAAACTATTTGGACCAGGGAAGGTCTAAATTGTAACCCTATTACAATAAAAACCTTGAAAACCATTAAGGTATAAGTGCATGTATAAGGAAGTATACACTTTCAAAGTCACACATAAGGTAATCTCTTAGAAAAATAAACAAGTCAAGCAAGACAAAGTGATGCAAATAAATTGGGAATTCAATTTATAATGCAATCAAACCAAGATCACATGGTGTAGGCACAAGAGCTTGTAATTGTGTCATAATTTTGAACACTTGAATTATAAGGACAATATATTTGAGTTTACTATTAGCTAAGGCCATAAACACTTCCATTGGACCCACCTAAGACCATGAACACCTTAAGAAACATCCATGATCATGAACTACACTTTATGGAATAAGTTTGTCCGTGAACTACTACCAAGGAAGCACTTAGGTCGTGAACACCTTTAAAGGGAGGAATATTGGTCGTGAACTACTTTCAATGAGCCACTTAGGCCGTAAACCCCTTCACATGAGCACCTTTGGCCGTGAACTCAATCCTAGAAAGCACTATGACCGTGAACACTCCAAGGATGGAAGGTTTGGCCGTGAACTCCATGGTGGGACATCAATTGGCCGTAAACCCTAGTGAAAACTCATTTAGACCGTGAACTCCTTCCCAATTCAAGGGTGTTTACGAATTATGAGCTGTAAATGGCTATTTCCAATACAAATCTCAGTAATTCATGCAATACCCAACAGTAAACCAAGCAAACATCTCATCAAATTCTTATCCCCATATGATAGAGCGTAAACCCCTTCTTTTCCTTTCACAAACTCATTTTTACATTTTGTGAACTCATAAACTGCTCTCAACGTGGTCAAGCTTCAAACTTTAATTCTTCAAAGCATTCTCTAAATCCTAGTAAGTATTCCAAGTTTTGATTAGTGATTCTATATATTATCTTGTTTAGTTCATCATATTTACACATAAAGATATGTGTTAATATTCTTAGGATGTTCAAAGGTTCAAAGAGGTTATCAAAACTCTTCAAGTGTTAGGACTTGAAACCTCTCAACATCTAACCAAATCACCCACCAAATCAAACCAAGTTGAGCTTCATACCCCTATCTTTTGAGTTTTCATTGTTTTTTAGGGGAGAATACAAGTCAAGGGTCGTGTGAACTCTTAGTATATTTGCTTGTTTATGCATGTATGTTATGATTTATGTGCTTAAAGTTATGAACTCCATATAATGGTTCAAGAACTAGAGATTTTTAGCAAGTCTTAAGGTTTTGAACTATATATCACAAATTATATGCTAGAAACACAAAAACTAACATGTGTATGAAATATAGATCATAAATTGTTATGTCAAGAACCATAAGGATTTTGCTCAAAGAAATCACTCAAATAAGTTTTTGGACATAATAACTTGAAAAGGGGTTAAATTATGAAAAGTTTATTATTTTGGATATTTTCGGCCACATATGTATATATAAGGACCATTTTGGAAAATTGAATAAAATTGAAGAATCATTGAACATCTCAATTTTTAAAGGACCAAAAATGAAATTTTTGGATGAATAAGGGCCTTTTTGAATATTTTCATAAATATAAGTCTAAAATGAACATTTTAGAAGAAATGGGTCATTTTCAATAATTCACCTAGTTTTGAACCACTTATGACACTTTTTGACAAATATGGGTCTTATTTGACGATTTATAAAAAGAAGGGTCATTTTTGCCAATATCGATAATATTGGATCACCTTTGATAAATATGATTCAATGTGGATTATTTTTCAATAAACAAAACAAAGCGATATACCTAGTCAACGGGCACAATTACTGTTATTTATTTAATGAATAATGGATTTTCATGAATTGCTCAAATATCTGTTGGTATTCTAGTTAGACGCATCTTCAAAGTACCTATATATATATATATATATATATATATATATATATATATATATATATATATATATATATATATATTAGTGTACGTTAAAGTCTTGTAAAGAGTTGTAACTAGAGTCTCCAGGAGGGAGAGCGGAAATTTGTGTATAGATCTATACGGGGTTTACACCCCTCAACTTCGATGTTTGCTACAGCTAGACCGGCCAGTCTAGGGTGATAAATGTCTTTAATCGATTTGGGCACCTGAGAAACGCCAAGACAGGCCTCCGTCATATTAGTATGATTATAACGGCTCACTAGAATATGATAATGTATTTAGAAATTTATGTAAGGAGAACCTTACAAATAATTTGGCACATTGTGTTGACCGCCCCTATGCCTGTTAGTGATTGTCCACATTCGTTGTGTTGATCGTCCACTTGCATTGTGCGGAATGTCCACAATCGCCAAGTTGATTTCTCACACCTCTCCAGGCTTAGGGTTTTAAGACCACCATTTTGTATATCAGAAAATATAGGATTTTCGGGAGTAAACGATTTTATACGATTTC